GTCAGTAACTACCACAACTCAGGTCGGTGAGGACATGACCACGACGAGGCCCAAATCCTTGGTGGATCCTGAAGGGAGTGGCCCACAGAGGCAGGTGACGGTGACAGCAAAGGGTGGAGAGGGCACCATCCAGACAGCACACGATGGGAAAAGGAGGCACTCCTCACCTTCTGGGGAGGAAGTGGCAGTGGAAAACATGTCCATAGGATAAAGTGCAGAGGGGCATGAACGCACGATGGAGAATGGAAAGCAGCCGCTGGCGGTGACAGGAGGAAAGTGAAGCCAGGTATGGTCTCAGGGTTAGTAGGGACGCCCATGAAAAGGTCGCAGAGCTTCACCTGCCTTTCTTCAGAACCTGGAGAGTCAGAGGGAAACTGCTTTGGTGCCTCTGCCACATCCCTTGGGAAGCCTGGCAACATGAGCGAGCGGTGAAACTCTGCCAACCCGCACTGGCTGGTTCCCAGAGGCTCTGAGTCCTGTCCCCGCCTCCGCTCTTACAACATGATTGATGGAGATGCAATGATGACAGGGCTGGCTTTGGGAGAGGGCCAGCCATCACTCACCATAGTCTGAAACAAAAAACAAGCATCCTGCCAGACAGAGGGAGCCCTCTAGGTTCACCGGTGTGCCCCACCTCCTTGCAGGAAGACTCCCCACTGACACCACTGGCTCTGAGCCTCCGGGGAAGGGTTGATCTTCTTTGCATCAACTGTAGTTCTCCAAGTTCCAAAGCGACAAGGTCCAGAAAAGGATGCATATTCCCTTGCTACCCAGGATGTGCTCCCCAAGAGCAGCTGGAAATGGGCCAGGCAGAAGGGCAGGAGAAGCTGTTGTTAAGATGATGAAGCCCCCTGTGCCTCCAGGATCGTCCTCAGCTGTGGAGAATAAGGATGGGCCCAAGAGACTTTTTGCTGTCTGTGGGAAGGGCGGGAAATCATGGGGGGAGGGGGAGTGGAAGAAAAGGACAGGTACAGCTGCCTGACTCCAGATGCAGGAAGATGTCTTGATCTGAACAGACCAGCAGTGGAAGCCAGGGAAGGCCTGGCAAGGGCACATGCTGCCCCCCAGCTCAGAGCACCTTAAAAAGAGTCTCTGGGGAAAAGGTTACAGCGAGCCCCAAGCATCCTGCTTCACAAAACACTCCCCCCCTCCTTCTTTTTTATGGATGGATAACTGGAGAAACTGAGACCTGTTCCTTGTGGCTGTGGCTGTGGCTTTGACAGGCTAGAACTGGTTGAAAGGTTTAGCAATGAAGACACTTTGCCAAGTAAAACTTCCCTCAGCAGACTGGTACTCATTATCGTCTGTGAGGTCCATTCAAACTCCAAGAGCAAATGCCACCAAAGCCATTCCAAGATGAGGCAATCCATCAAGTCTTTCTAGAGAGCATCACTGGGAACTAATTTTATGTGTTAATTGCCAAAGTTTGGAGGGACTCTGGATATCAAAAAACCTGGAAAACTAAAAGCCTGAAGTCAGCGGTAATGCTTATTTGATCTTTTCAAAGAATGGCTTCATCTGTGTTTATATAATGAGACCGTCTGCAAACAGGCTTGGCCAAGCTGGAGCAGAGAAGATTCTGAATTGTGAGTAAACACTGTTCATCTCAGACCGGCTGGAAGCAGGCATCGCTCCACGTCGTGAACCTTTCAGAACACTTGTGGGATTTTTCTCTTCTAAAGGCCCACATGCAGTTTTTTAAATGCACACACACACACACACACACACACACACACACACACACACACACACAATCTCCCAATCTTTTCTGGATGGAAAGGCAGGTGGTGACTTTCATTTCATTGCATATTGTTGTATTTTCAAACTTTTTGGAAATGAGCCTGTGTCCTTTCGCTTTCATAAGTAAACGTCGAATTCTTAAGAAAACAGAATTTCTTCTTTTAAAGAGGACTGCAAGGGACTGGGTGTAGTGGTAAATGCCCGTAATCCTAGCACTCTGGGGATAGAGTCAGGACGAGTGTGAGTTCCGGGCCAGCCTGGACTACGCATATCAATCCTCTGAGCATAAAAAGGTGGTGGGGGAGATTTGTGCTGTTTTGAGCCTTGTTACACTCCAAGCAGAAATTCCAGCTCTAAATCTCTTGCTTACACAGAAGGTAATATTTGGGGTAGAAACTGCATTAAATCAGTAATTCAAAACCAGTAATTACAGCCAGGGAAAGGGCTTGGGCCATAAGGGTCTCACAGACTCAGCTCAAATCCCAACGCATACTAGCCGCACAAGCTTGGGCAAGTTTTAGAACCTCTTAGAGCCATAGTTTCCTCATGTGTACAAAGTCACATGTGGAGACTAAAGGACGCCCTGCCATGTAAAAGACAATGTATACGGAGAAAACAGCGCCATGGTTCAAAACAAGCAAACAAAAACCCTCAGTTTCTCTCTGATTCTGCAAAGCATAATAAATGTCCTCAAAGACATGGCTGATCGGAAATAATTTCATTTGAAAACAATGCACGTAGGTTTTCAGGGCAAAAGCCAAGACTTCAATGTGTTTATAACAGGCCATATCCCCATCTTTGCTTCTACACATCCAGGGAGGAGTGGGGGAGGGGGAGGGATAACTGGAGATACCCCTGACAGGTCCTCTCCAAACTACACAGCACAGAGGGCAGGTGAATACACACTAGATAAATAGTGATGTCTATTATTTCCTTTAGATAGGTACGTACATGTACAGATAAATAAGAATTTTTTTTTTAAAGCCACCTGCCTTTCTCTTAGTTCAGGAGGTACAGGCATTTGAACCACTGAGCATTAAATGCCAATTCATTACTTGGGCTGTCAATACATACTAAGCAATCAATATGACTCATCAGATCAGGAAATATAAGATGCCGGAAAGAAGGCAAATGCACCAGCTACTAACTCTCCCGAATTCTTGGTCGAAATAATGACAATATTCAACCAATATCCACAAACACACCGTCTGTGCATCCGGAAATCAGACCATTTCTGGGTTCCCCTTTCCGTGTTCAGGAATCAAATGACTGTGGTGTGGGGTGGATTACTCGCTTTAGAGAGAGAAGGAAAAGACTAGGAAACAGGGACTGACCCTATCGTCACTGGGTCACTTCCACTAGCCATGTCAACACGACTGACATGGGATTTGATTGAATTGTACCCTCACATTGGGAGATGAGTTTGCGGGCAGAGACCAGCTCAGGACCACTAGGACTGCCATTCAGCTGTCTCTTGGTCAATTTGGCAGCTCAAACTGTCTGCTTTATTAGCTGGTTCTTGAAGTACCTATTACTCTCTCCATCCCCACCCACATACACTATGAGGGAGAGAAAAGAATCCTTTCTGGTGACCCAACCTGCTTCAGGAGCCAGTGCAGTGAACACCAGGTCTGAAGGAGTTTGGGGTGCTCTTGGGACATCATGCCACCCCCAGACAAAGCCAAACCAGGAAGGAACAGCAAATTAAGTATTAGCCTTCAAGAATGTGGCTCCCTCTGAAAATTCAAAAAGCTGAGAAAGTTCCTTTACAACATGGGAGTAGATCTATGCGGCATGTTTGGGCACTGTCTACCCTGAATCCCTGTTCATCCAAGTGGGGTTTCACTTTTTCTTTATGAGGAAACAGCCTCAAAGCCCCACTGTCTGCAGTAGAACAGACTGAGCATTCCAGGGTGGAGAGGACAAAATCCCATCACATCTAACTGGCAGGACTCCTTACATCAGCCCTCATATTTTCTCCTCGGGAATCTCTTCCCTCTTGTTTCTACATTCCTAAACCAAACAGCGAGTGATTATGCAATCTTAGAAAGAGGTGCAAGCTTAGGTGTGACCTTCGGAGTCTTTTCAGGGACAGGTGATTGGAAACCCCTTCCTCCTCCCCAGGCACTCGCCCTCTGCTCCTTGTCACCTGGCCCTTGCAAGAGACTCGGGGTTCTATTTTAAGACAAATCCTCTCACACTAGAAATTACTCAAACAAAACATAGGCATCTCAACGGCTCCTCAGTCTTCTTCCTTCTGGGTCACCTCTTCCTGTACACAGTCGCTCCAAGGCCCCCCAACCGGGCCTCCAAAAGCTGGTCCCAGGGTCCCTCCCATCACCCAACCCTGCTGGAAGGGCAGGGCTGTTAATGGTGAGTGTCAGGCAGTGGGACCTGACCCTTCAGACCAGCCTTCCCAGGGTGGGAATTCGGGCCTTGCATCCTCAGAAGGAAGCCAAGGGATCAAAGGTTTGTGAAACGCGGAACAGTCCACAGGAGACCCGTTCCTCCTGCGCCTCCCCCTTACTCCTCCTCAGGAGTGCTCAGCGTACACCACACCACGCCTGAAGACCTAGGATCCATCCACTCTCCACTCAGGGAGGAAGCTTGTGCCCTGAGGGTGATGGAACCTGGCCAGGTCTGCACTACCTGGAACCTTCTTCTTCCTGCTCTCCCTCCTTTCCTCTTCTCTCTTCACTCTCGGCTCTCTTGGTTTCCCTTCTCCCCTGCCTGGCCTCTCCCTACTTCCTCTTACAAGGCACTCTGGTTTTGTTTCCACTTTGTCTCCAATTATGTCTAAACGCAACCCACCACAGATGCTGACATTTTGAATGTTTAGTTGTTATAGTTACTTGACTAATTGCCTGGGCCACCGGCGGCGCTTCTTCTTTCCTGCAGGCAGGAGAGAAGGGGGGATGGGAGGGAAGCCGGGCAGATGGGGGTTTGAGCCACTACTCCAGGGCGGCCCAGACACCCTGCCACGCCCAGGAGTGTGCCCCGCGCAAGAGGCTCCGCGGGCCACACGCTCCAGCCAGGGCAGGAAGGCGCGCCTGGTACCTGTACCGCCTGGCCTCAGGATACCAAGAACAGCGGCTCCTGCCCCGGGACAAGGGAGATGGACAAGGTCTACCCAGCAAGTGGCCTCACAGTCCTCCCACGCCTGCGATGTACAAAAGACGGGTGAAGTGAGCATACAAGGTGGGCGTGGGGGTGGGGGCTCTGGGGCAAATGAGAGTTAGAAGCTGCCGCAGGTTACTCACGTGCCAGATAGCGAAGAAGATGAGCGCAGCGCAGAGCACCAGGGACAGCATGTAGCAGAAAGCAGCGAAAGTGAAGGCCATGGCTGAGAACCCCGGATCCCACCACGCACAAAGCCGCTCCCTGGAGACCAGGGCCCTCCCAAACGAGGGGGCCAGAGAGACGCCTCGTCAGCACGCTCCCGGCCAAACCAATGGCTGGGAGCACCCGAGACAAGCAGAAAGAGAGTTGAGGGTCAGCGAAGCCGGCAGGATTTCGGCAGGTCCGGAGACCCGGGACCTGGAGCGCCCACAGGTCCGGAATGTCGCTGGCGGCAACTGCTCCCCTAGCCGAAGAAGAAGCCTAACCAGCAGAGAACAGCTGCAGACCAGTGTCAACTAAACAGGTTTGGAGACCAACAGGCGCCCAGTGCGAGGACTCCACTCGGGACCCGGCGAAGAGGTCCGGTCCTCTGGAAAGAGTCCTCCCTGTCCGCGCCCGGGCGAGGAGGTGGGGCGAGCTTGCCACCCAGACTCCGAGAGCGTCCCGCCAGGTGCCCAGGATCCGGATCCTCCAGCCCGCGGCCGCCCTGTCCCCGAGCACAAGTCTTTCGGTGTCCGAGGCGAGCCAGGCTCCCGTTAACCCTGCACCCCGGGCTGGGGTCTTCCAGAGCCGCTGTGCGCACGGAGCTGCATCCGGCCCCGGCCCCAACCGCGTCCCCGGCCGCCGCGACCCGGTGCCTGGGAAACTGGGTCGGACCGGGGCGGCGTGGGCTCGCGCCTAGAGGGCCAGCGCGGGGCCGGGCGGCTGCTGCTTGGGTTTCCGGCCAGGCGCTGCCCGCGGCGGAGCGGGGCTCCACCTGCTGCTGCTGCTGTCGCGGGCGGGCGCCGCGCAGACTGCGGTGCCGGGACCCCTCCCTCGCGGCGCCCCACCCTCGCCCGCCCCGGAGCGCGCTCTCCCCGCGGGCGGAGACTGCGGCGGCGGGGGCCCCGGAGGCGACGGCGAGGAGCCGCGGTGCGCGCCCGCCTCTCCGAGGAAACTTGCGGCCCCGCGCGCAGGGGCGGGAGGGGCAGGGACTCTTTAAGCACGTGCGCCCGGCGCGAGTGGGTAGGCGGAAGGCTATGGAGATGACGCTTCCGCCGCCCCTAGGCTTCCAGCAGTTTTGCGCACACCAGAGCGAGAAGTGAGGGGACTCGGTCGAGGGAGTGGGTTGGCTCCTGTTGGTTGGGTCCCGCTTAGGCAGACTTCCCGGACTGTCTGGTACTCCAGAGCTGGGATGCCATTACAGCTCTACGCTGAGCCCCCCACCGCAGGATCCTGCGCCCATCCCTGGCGTCCTCCACAATCCCACTCCATCTGACCTTGGGATTAAGGGAGCCTGGGCGGTCGTGGGATAAGGCAAGGCTGGCAGCCAGTGTTTCTGGGTTGCTCTGTGGCATTAGGGGCATATACTCTCGGAGGCAGACTTCCTCCTACCTCCAACTTTCTCAGCCTCCTTAAATAAGAGCTGAATAGCAATGAGTTATCTTCAAACCAATGCGTACCTAGCAAAGAGCGCTTAGGTACCCAGTAAATCCGTAAATGGTAGGGACTCATGTGTGCCTCGGCCACAGTGGTTTAGCATCATAGAAATTTGCATCATAATCGCTCAATGATAGCCCGCAGATAGGGCTTGGAGTCCAGATGAGTCAGCGCAGGAAGGAAGAAGAGATGTCCCGAACGATGACTAGCAAGTCCCCTGGGAGTACAAATACAGGCCATGGTTTGGGCTGCATCTCAGAGCACCAGGTTTCTCTCACATCCTCCCCAACCTCCGGGTCTTCTGCCACCTCGCCATGGCGGTCCCTAAGCCTTAGGAGAAGGGATGTGATACAGTGGTCCCTGTGTGGCTGGCTGGGCACTCCACTGCCCTGGGCAGGGTGTGTGTTTCTGCATTAACTGCCATCCGCTGCGCAAAGCAACGTCTTTCCTGAGACCTGAGAACTGCTCTAAGCTATAGGTACAGAGATACAAAGTTAGAGGACAGTTTGATACCATTTCAACTTAGCAAAACAATTGTGGTAAGTTGTCCTCGGGGCATTAACGATTCCACAACTGTGATTCCTGGCCAGATTGACAGTCGCAGGCATTCGTTTCCTCCTGTAACAGACTTTAAAACCAACCAGAAAGCAGCTGGTTACCCCGTAACATTCATGCCACTGTTGCACTCATGGGCATATTTTGCCACATCGGTCGTTACTGTAGCTCACAGGGTTCACACCTGGGTAAGAGTGTTGATGAGCCGCACATGCGCGCATGCGCGCACACAGAAGCCTGCAGTGCAATGTCTAGTACTATAAAAGACAGACAGCAGGGAGGAAGCTCCCTGGTCAAGGCCAACTTGATTTCTCCATGTTCTCTGACCCAAGTGTCTTCAGCAATGGAGCCTCACCATAAAGTTCTGGTGGGCAACCAAGAGCAAGAGACAATAGCCCGCATTCGTTGGGGGTCTCTAAGACACCCCTGAATTCTACAAGCCCTCTAAGTTAAACACACAAATCTAAAGACTTGGTGCGAGGACCCACTGTGAGTGAGAACATGCAGTGTTTGTCTTTCTGGGTCTGGAAACCTTTTACTTCCTACATGTAGTATCACCAATGGAAAAGCCTTCTGAGATGTTTCTGAAGTCTTGGCTGAAATGCCAGACTTTCTTTCTAGCAGACATGAGCACAGTCAGCACAAGGGACTTCCGTGGCATGTTTCCCTTTGATGTCATTTTTTTCTGAAGTATTAACAATAAGGTTTAACATTTTGACTAAGGTGTTATTCTCAACTGCACAAGATCAAAGGTGTTTAAATTTCTCACTTTAAATAAATTATTAAAATGCTGTATGTGAAAATTTCCTAGAAAATAAATATTTTACTGTCTTGATTTATAACCTGTTAAACAAGCTGCTTACTCTCTCTGAGTAGGTGTGTTTTATAACAAATGGGACCATGAATTTAAAATTAATGTTTGCTTATGTAGACATAGTTATTTTTTAATGATTTGAATATTTCATGCTTGAAAATGCTTAATTATGGCTTAAGTATAGGTTCGGTAGTCAACATTCAAAGTATATTTTCGTAGAATTTTAAATTGTTTTTATCAACATTTAATTCAGGTTTTTTCTTATATGAATTATATAAATATATATTATATAAAAGCTCTTTTGATTTCTAATCAATCTTTTGACTGATAATTACAATTTTAAAAATCAGACCCTAAGCTTTGATGTGATTGACATGCTGATAAATGTGTGTGTATGAGTTATAGGGATTAATAACAAATGTTTCAGCCCTTGTAGATTCTTAGTTTGCAAGAAAACTCTATGACAAAAGAGATATTTGCAAGCAAAAACAAATAGAAATTTACTAACATGTATATTTCATATACCCATGGGAAATGCACAGAGAATGAGGAGTTCTCAAAGAGCTGGCTCCGAATTCCCACTTATGTAACATCTTCAAATGATGGCACATTTCTTGAGAAGTGACTAGGCAAAGGAAAAGGACTTTGAATATCCAGGTGCGGTGCCATGGAAGAGAGCAAGTAACAGGCAGAAACAAGGCGAAAGTGGAGCTGTTTCAGGTAGATGGGTTCTCTTAACCATTTCTGGGCCAATAAGGTCTGAAACTGTAATACGTGGTCAACTATTCTCCATGGTAGGAGAATGTGAACTCACTGTGTTGGTTGGAGGGGAATCTCTGTCTTTCCGAGTCTTTAAGCACATAGAAGGGCGGCGCTCTCCTGCATATTCCCTGTCTTCATTGCTTTCAACCCAGTAATCATTCCTGTTTGGTGGTGACATATTCAGGTCTCCCACACGGTCTATTAATAATTAATTATGAGTGCCATTCGCATCCATCATCTCAGGAACAGTGGCGGGAAAACCATGTTTTTGTTAAAATCGTAAAATTATTTTGTGTTGAAGAAATAAAAAGTGTGTTATTCCTGGGCCAGCTCTCTCCTTGTGAAGGGCATTCAGGGCATGTGTGCCTCCAGGATGCCGCTTGTAATAAGCACCATTGTGTTTTCCGTAGATGGCTGAGGTGTGTGACTGCTAACGGAATGCTAATAAGTGTATCCAAGTTGGTTGTCTCTCTATTTTGCGATAGTTTTAAAAAATATTTTATTGATGAATTCTTAAACTTGTAAATATTGAAACAGTCCGTTTACAATGTATGCAAGAATAGCAATGTGCAAACAATACGTCTAACGTAGCAATCATTAGAGTCAGGGGACAACCATGATTTCAATATAGTGATAAAACAGAGCGGCGCACAGCAGGGGGAGCTCTGTAATAAATGTGAACATGGGAGGCCCATCTATCAGTGGCCCTTGTGACACCCTGTCATGGTTAGCCTGAATTAACGAGTTTAATTTAAAATTTAATTATTAATTGATTTTTTTTATCATGTTCTGCAAGGGCCACCATACTGTTTACCAGTCAGAACAGAAATCTTTCAATAGGGTAAGAGTCAAGGCAGTTACACTAATGAATGCTGAATAAACTATAAGGTGGAAAGCAGAACGACTTTAAAGACAAAGGCTTTTTCTACCTTGGGGAAAGGTTCGTCTCTCAGCAGACACCTGGCAGATGCCTGTAGTTAGGAGAAGAGAGAGAATGCTTCTGCCAACATCCAGAGAGAAGCAAGAAGCACTTTTCTGCAGAGTGGAGAGGCTGAGGCCAAGGGTTTAGAGAAGGACACACATCTCGCTTCATGCTAGTGTTGTAGAAGACACAACAACTGTTGCTGTGAGGTGCTGGGGAGGCTGGGGCCAGGCCTAAGCCTCCCAGGATCTCCAGCTAGCAACGAGAAGGCCAGAAGTAAAAGGACCAAGGCTCAGGAAGCCCCTGTGTGGACCTGTGACCAGTGGCAGAGGTAGAAGCTTCTGGAACTTCAGCGTTTGTACCAGCCCCTGCATCCCTCATAATAAATTCCCTTCTAGCCAAGCACCAAGGAGACTCAAAGTTAGAGTTAAACTATTTTAAAGAGAGTTGGAATGTTAGGTGTGCAGTTGATACAAACCTGCACTTTGTAGATTTTCCACATGTGAGTGGGGCGGGGTAGGATAAAGAAACAGTATCTGAACCTAGGCAGCACCAGCCTGGCCTACGAGGGCAAACAGAGCCACACAGGTTACAGTGGACCAAAGGCACCAGCTCTGCATGGAGCTAGCAGTGGCTGCCTCCCAACTTTAGGAAAGTTATTCTTGAATCAACTATATGCAAGAAAGTGGGGTAAAGTGTCCTATGGGCATGAAGGATGAGGAGAAAACCTTTAGATCCTGGTTTTCAGAAAGCAGCTACAAAATGCAGTTTGGGGACAACTCAGAAGTACTCACAGCAAGAGGCTGACTACTGTTGAGTCTGAAGTGGGACCGAGGCCCAGTTCTTAAAACAAAAATCAAATTCACAAACACCTGATCTCACCAACGATGAAAGAGAAATGGGCTTCGGGAAAGTGTCTTACCAAGACAGTCTCCAGTTGGGACTTGGGGAACGGTTGGATGGTTGCTGAGAACCAGGAGCGGTGGGTGTGAGTGGATTTCAGCTGGAGGCTAGAGAGCTGCTGGCATTCCTACAAGGCTTGGCTGGGAAACAAAGGAAGAAGGGAACGTATCCCCATCTGCACCAAAAAGCCCGAGTTAACGCCAGCTCGGGGACACGCTTGTGCAGAAGGAAGTGTCTGGCCAGGTTTTCCTATGAATGGAGTGCAATTTCTAAATGAGATGGAAGGAGATACAGCCCACTGGACTAAGCTGCCCAAAAATTCAAAATCTTCCCTTTATGCACTGGCCATTTCCCTGATATGTGTGAGCGTGAGGTGGAGGCAGGAGTAATGTAGAGGC